CAAGATCACCGCAGATTATGTCTCGACAGAAGAGCAGCACGCCGATATGCTGACCAAGGCCCTTGGTAGGGGCAAGTTGGAGTACCACCGGAAGGCTCTGATGAACTTGCCGATGTAGGATTCTGGTCTCGTTTTCGTGGCGTTTGTTTTGCTTTGTTCTAGCACTGGGCGCGTCTCGGACCATGGTATGTCACGCAGGAAGCGTTGGGCAGGGGCGTCACCCGCGGCGGGAGCTTAAGGGTTTTTGACCAATTGCTTCGGGTGTGTAATCAGCGTGGCCTGTCCAATCTGTCCTGCCTTGGTCCTGCCCTGATAGTGCGGCCGTTGGAATCCTTCGTGATAGCGACGGTTTCTTTTATGTTTTGAGTTTGTAGGCGAGGGTTTTTGATCCGGATGACCGAGTTTTTTCTCTTGCACCCGTTGTTGTATGAGTAACTTAAGTAGATCTGGAGTATCCATGCCCCACTGATAGTTTGTCAATAGCTTGACGAACCGGGGAGGGTGTTTGTGTGTCTGGATACGAGCATGGTAGATCTGCTAGCAGCACGGGGGGTACGTAGACAGGAGCATGCGTATGCCTGAAAAAGGCTACTATGTGTGGGCCCCCTTCCCCGAATTCGGGAGGGCCACTTCTTCCCTTCCTTTCCTCGCTCCCGCGGGTGCCTAATCAGAGAGAGTTAAAACGTGTCTTCTAATCCCAAGTACGGACATACCAACATTTTTGGGGACATGACAACAAAGGAAATGTGTGCACGGACGGCAAGTCGGCGGTTCTAGGGCAATTTTTTTCTTGTTTAGGACTACATAAATACAATATTGTTCAATGATGCATGGCGAAGAACAGGTCGGGGGTAGGCTTGGGACAGAAACGCGAAGATGTGGCGTGTCTGGGGGTCGCGACAGCGATGTGCCGGGTGGTGATTTGGTATAGTGGTTGTGCTTGTACCCACATATTTGTATCCCCCTGCGATATTTCTCATTAATCAACCACCAAATACCGAAATAACGAATTTGTACGAAGGTCTACGAGGAAATATCTTCTATCTCAGCACCACCTGCTTGGATGGACCTCGGGCAATTGCAACCAATACGTATGATCCAGGTGCATCTGATCACGTAAGGTTCAGATTTTTGTAGTGAAGTGGCAGATTACAGAGGCCAGTGCGCAGTGATTTGGGTGGAGTTAATGGACCCCAAGTCTGTGCGCGAAATTCGACTTTTAAGCGAAGCTGTCTCGGGTCAGATCCCTTTTCGAATTTGGTTGCTTGGACTGGTGGTGTTCCTAGTTGCAGCAGCATTGGCCGCACGAAACTTTGTTAACCCTTGCCACCGTGCACAAGCGAAGGAAGAGTTTCCAATCAACCTCCTTAGCTTCTTCACCAAGGCTACTGCCCGGTCGGCGAGCCATTCCAACAGCATCTCATCTCTGGTGTTTCGTTTGGGCTGCAATGGTCATCGATACTGTCTCTACCTCCGATCCCAACACCACGAGCTTTGGTCACCCAATAATGATTAACAAGAAAAAACAGCAAAGAGTTGCCCGGTAAGGTCACCAACACAATGGTCATCCCTAACGTTTCTTTCTCCCAGCCCAACACCACTAGCTTGGTCATCCAATAACGATTTACACGCAGCAACAACAAGATCAAATCACCAAAAAGTTGCCCTGGAAGATCACCAAAAGTACTTAACTACCGAAGGAAGAGCGAGCCCTATACATTAGAGCAACAACCATATTTGGCAGCTTGTGGGCGGCCAACAGGAAGTATTGGTTATCTCCCCTTCCAATGGCATGCGATCATCAGACATGCGTGATTCTGAGGCGCCTTTGGACCCTGGCCAGTACGGTATCTACTCGATCTCTAGTCTATGATAAATATCAAGATAAACGAAAAATATACCGACCCGCCGTCCGCCTTTGTTGCCTCTTGGGATACGGCAGCGTGTGGCAAACGGCATGGGCTGCCCCGGAGCAACGACGGATACGAAGCAGTTAACTAATCAAATCAATCACTCAAGCCAACCAATCAATCAAGCAAGGGGTAAGGCTGAGCGTGACGGCCATAGTAAAGGCTGAGAGGCCGAGTCCGAGCGTCGTGAAGCTCGATGAATCCGCTGAGAGCGTGCCGTCGTTCTGGATATGTACAGCAGTACCACCGTCCAAGATTCAGGGGCGGGCGGGCATCTCAGGTTAGAGGGCAAGCGAGCAAAATTATGTCGCGACTTCCTGTTGTCTTGCTGCACTATGTTCGTACACGAAAGATCAATCAATCAATCACCACGACGAGGAAGACAAACCGGAGCCAAGCCAATCCAAACCCAATACGGTTTCTTACCAAGGTTCGACAATCAACGCTGAACACTCCACAAGTCCTTGCCCAACGCATTGTCAACGAATATACAGATGTGCAGCGGAGCTACAGCACGCAACGTCCCACCTGTTCGTCTTCGTCGATCGTCCCCGTGCACGAGTCCACGATTCCGAAGGTGCGGTTTAAGTCCGTCTCGTCTTCTAGATCTGTGATGCCCAGGAAACTGCCGCCGCATCTCTCGAGTCCTCCACAATACCCACCATCGCGGATGATTTGGGCCGGGTAGTAAAACAAGAAGTCCATGCAAACGTGTGTGTGTGTGTCGTTTTTATCAGCATCGACCACGGTAACTGTCTGACCAATGAAAACACGTGAGTCTCAGTGCTGTGGAAAACACGAAATGCTGCTATAGGCCACGATCTGGGACCCTGTGTCATGGGGGAGTCATAGCTACTCTCCGGACAAAGACAGATAGCGTAACAATAACAGAAGAAAACTGCACGCGTTTTCCATGGCTGCTTGCTACTGCCTTGGATGCGCATGCGTTTTGGATTACTTTCCACCAGAAGTACTACTGGAATCCCATCCTCTTGGTCGCGGTGGAAATTGGTGGATCAGTAATCCATGACGTTTGGAAACATCCCGAATTTGTACCGACAGAAAACGAGCCAGCGCGAACGTAAACCGTCTCCGAATTTTGTTCGTTCGTATGGTAAGCTTTCAGGCGAACCAAGGCTGTCTCATCGTCGATTTTCCCCCTGCAATGTTCTTTGTTAGCTGAGTGGTTGGTGATAGCTACGATGAATCGATTATTGCCTTGGTCAAGACCACCATACGTTGGAAAGCAGCACTATGGAGGTAAGATCTAGACGGGTTGAAAGTTCCCACATATCTGTGTGTTTTTCCCAACACCACGTTGCGTTGTATTTTCGAACGAGTTAGAGTGGCGGGCACTAAACAATATAGCAAACGGTGCATCTCGAAAGGTACAGTCTCCAAAGAAGGCACAGTAGAGGACGTTGTGACATTTCGCATCTCTTCCCCCGAGTCTACGTTGGAACTTGCTACAAAGTGTGACATATGATACATGTAGCATTTGATGCAGCCTTTGGTTTTGAGCACAGCGCCAACCCAGTTGGGTACGTCTCGTTTTCTTTCAACGGCCAAGAATGGTGCAGCGAGAAACCTCATATCTCTTGTTCTGGCCCCTCGCGGGAGGTCAACCTGTTCGAGGCCCCACTTTTAATTGACCCTTTACATTTTTTCTATTCCGTTTGCCATCCCACAATTGCAGATTCCATCAACAACACGCACATTAAATGCCACACGTTTGATCCGTACTTTTACCGACACACAAGAAATGATAACCTGACACGCAAAACCATTCAACCACTGCTTCATCTCCCATTGTCACGTATTCTCCGTAAGCTCACAAACAAATAACGAACGAACCAAACAATCATCAATCTTGAAGAGTATCCCCACCACTGTTCTGGAACGAAAACATCGCCTCTCGAAGTATCAATACCATGCTTCGCAGCAGTAGCACTCTCTTCGGTCTAAGCAAAAAAGACCACATATCATTGTTTAGATCCCTCGCCCAATATTTTACGAAGTAAACGGTGCATTGGAGGACATGCTACGTATGTCGCACATCCCTTCTTCCGACCCCTCGCCGAAGGTGACGTTGGTCGAGTCCACGGAGGAAAGGGAGGTGTCGTAGTAGCAGGTCGTTTCGAAGCTGTCTCCTTTTTGAAGAAAGACCGACACAAAAGCCAGGCAAGGTAACACGAACGCATTCGGCGGTAGCAGGTAGTGAATGTACTGCTACAGTACCCGTAGCCGGGTAAAATAGACGAGGGACTCTAGATAGGCACGCGACGCGGGGGGTGGGGGGGTGCAGCACCGGCTCTAGTTGCTATTGTCACTGTGCAAATGGCTCGTCCGGATCCAAGTATTTTTCATCCCCGCCGCACGAAGCTTCCTGTATGCCCCAGACACTGCGTATGTATGGCAATGCTCCAGAGCCCAAAAACACACTACACACGACATCCAAAACCAGCGAGAACTAGGCAGGCTTTCTAATGAAGGTACCCTTCGCCCAGAGACTAACAATCAAGATGCAGGGTATCAGGGCTACCTAGCGTAGCCGCTGTTATTGGCGTGACGATTCGCGAGGCACTCTGTTGGTAAATATTTAGCTACGATCGTGCCCCTCTCCGAACACGCACTTGGATGATATCGCTTCCGTTATGCGCCGTCACGTGGCCGCCGGCCTGCAGGAAGGAGTAGTACTCGACCTCGGTGGCGTCGACCAGCTGCTCGTTTCCGTCGCTGTCGCTGCGGTATTGCCGGGTCTCCATCCTCTGCCCGTTCCCGTGCATGTGCAGGAAGTGTGAGTAGACCGTGACGCTCTCGGCCTAAATTTCACGAAAACAAAAGAAGACAAAATGGACCCGTCTTTTCGGGTTTGCGGCAAGCACGTCTGAGCGGTGCGTGGGCGGGGTAGCGGGGGAAGGCTGTGGTCGTCGCAGAGACCAGGTAACTGAACTTGGGTGGATGTGAGTCGATCGAGCACCAGCAGTGTCTTCCTTGTGAAGAGAACACAGGCAAGCAAGACCGGGTGCAAACTCCAAAAGTTGCCACACGGTCGCCACTCACTGGACAGGACCCGAGATCAGAAAATAATCACATAACTGCATTGATCAATCACAACAATCAACCGCTAAATTTGTCCAACACTTCGAAGCAATACAGTTCCACAACTACATAACAGGAATCAAATCAAATCACACCCACCTCGAGGTAAGTCTCGGTGCAAACGCCGGGGCAGTCGAACTCCACGGAGGATTTCCCCTCCGGCAGCTTGGTCCCGGTGAGGTCGACGTTGGGGTCTCCCAGGGTGATCACACCCATGTCCATTTCGCGGATGCCTTCCGTGTAGTACACACGCACGCTCGAGCTGTCCACCTCGCCGGCGTCCCCGTCCGGATTGTTGTTGTGCGTCTCGACCCTATTGAATTGATTTGATTTGATTGGATCAATCGATTGATTTCATGTGCCACGTGCTTTGACTGCTCTCAGGACCCAGCCGTGGTCACATACATAGGTCTAACGAAGGAGCCACCGTACACGAAACGGAAACGCTCGCATGACAAAAACGGTATGTACAGTAGAAGGAGGTTTTCGGGCTTCCAAAGAGGACCCAACTACAGTATGCTGAGAAAGAACAAACAATACAAAACAAAAAACACCTGAGGGACGTGTACGAGTCGTTGCCGAAGCGGAAGCCCACGTGCGTGTTGGGGTGCTCGTTGTGGCCGTTGGATTGCGTTTGGCCGCGCCCCATATATCATTATGAGGTGCGTGGAGTCATGTGGCGGTACGATGGCGTATGGTCGCAAATGCCGCGCGTCTAGTCCAAACCCAGCATACGGGCGAGGTGCTGGGACACGACACTGGTGTTCATGTCCACCGCGTTTGCGACGTTGGATGGGCGGGTATCTCCTTTCGGCGTGGTAGAGGAAACCAACCATCATCCGTGAACTTCCGGTGGCACTTGGAGAGAAAATCGGATCTGGTATCTCCGTGGAATATTTGTGTCCGACTCAATATTTTTGTGGGGTCGTGCCCTTTTGGTGGGGATAAATACTTCGTTCCAGTTGCATCGGAGTCTGTCGCAGGATATCATCTTCGGTGAAAGTGTCAAAGGAGAGTTTCGGCGACTGCTGTTGTGACGGGTGGCGGTCGTGTTAGGCTTTTGGTCCCTATTCTCGGCCGCCGCCGGGGCTGTTGTCCAGGAAGCGTTCCGGCAAGGGACTGTGGAACCTTCTCGGGCATCGGTGTTTGTGTACACTTTATTCGGGGGATCAAGTCGGTTGACCTCCACTGTGGTTTTGAGTGGCGGTAGAGTCCAGGATTTGGGTTCATGTTCTCATACGCCATGAAACACCACGCGTATAGGACGTTTTAGATTGCCTCGGGGCCGCCACCGGGGCGGCTGCGGTGAGGCACGTGCACATGGTGTGCCGTGATGGTCCAGTAATCTTTGGCACTGGTGGTCTCGCCGCATCTCAATCTGTGGGCGTCATTGATTGGATGGTGGCAATCGCTTCCGTCTGTTGGATAACAAATGGTGCTGTTTGGTGCGCAGTTGCCGTCGCAAGAATCAATCCAAAATTCGAGACGTTCGCTTGGACACTTTTGTGGGACCTTGGACACGCCAACACATGTCGTCACGGTGGCAGGGAGAAACAACAGCACGGTCACTGGCACGAACAAATACAGTGCGGGGCGTTGGGTCGTGAATGTGATGATGATCTCGAAGTTGGGTGGTGGTTTGAGGTGCGCGGTCGTCAGTTGCGAGTGGGCAGTTTGTTCCCTCCCAGGTACAATATCCTTGTTTTGCCCAACGATCCGTGTCCACGGAAGCTCCTAGGTTGGCATTTGGCGGCCATATGCATTTCGCCGGAGGAACACGCTCGTTTTTTGCGTTCCGGAAAAATTGGTGGGTGTGGGCGTGGCCGACGTCCGTGTGCGTGAACTCCTTGGCGTGGTGGAGGTACATGGCTGTTGGTAGGTCATACAACATCGGCTGCTGGAGGCCGGGACTATGTCCGGTGGTGTCATGCCATCGATACGTCGACATCTTGGATGCCGAGGTGTCGCGTTGCCGAGACGCCTCGCTCGGAAGCGCCTGTGCGCTCTGTGGCGACTGTCGATGTGTCCACTAGATAGTTGGTCGCAAACATTGCTGTTCTGGCGTACTGAATGTGCTTGATGACGGTCTCTATTGTGGGGACCGTGGTAACGTTCACGCTAACCTTGTGCTGCTTGCCCTGACATTGCGTTGCAGGTGGGAAGACCACTTCGGCCATGTGAGCCCTTGCTCCAATTTTGGGGGTTCGAGCTCGGCTAGAGGAGGAAACCACCCACCATCCGTGATACTCCGAACGTGGAGCTGAGTTCGACCATGCACGAGATGTGCCCCGAGATGCTGGGTTCGAGCTCGTCTACCAGGCACCTGCGCTGTCGTCTGAACGATTTCAGTTGGGCCGCTTTGGCGCATGGATGAATGTCCGCGTGGATGGGGCGTGGCGACCTGTGCTCGTAATATCATATACCGATCCAAATCGCCTGTGGTTTCGCAGTTGCTGGAGTACGTTGCAAATCCTGTTTCCGTGTTGGGGTGCGGCGTGCGCCTATGACTGGTGATTTGTCCGCCGTCGAGGTTCCTTTGGCTTAACGGTTGTCAAGTGCGAGAGAATTGGACGCGTGCCCACTACTGCACCGCAGTATGGAAGTGCGGGTTCGTTCATGGACCAGTTTCGGAGAGGTTTCGTGGATACGCGGGCGAGGCCGGGCCGTCGAGTATGGAGGGGGTGCAGTCGATGTGATGATTGAACTCCTATCATGTTATCCCTTTCTTCAGCCAAGAGAATCTCACCAGTTGCCTCCTGAACGGAGGGGCGAGGCCGACAGAGTCGAGGTGCGGCTTCGGTCGTCGAAAGGCGACCCGTTTCGGAAGGGTGCCGTGTGTACGCGGGCGAGGCCGGGGCCTCCCCAGTCCGTAGAGTGTGGGGGGGGTGCAGTCGATGTGATGATTAAACTCCTGTCATGCTATCCTTGTCTCCCCTCGTCTGCCCCGTTGGTCGCGTTCGGAACCTGGGAGGGGCGGTAGTCTGTGTCGACTCGTCGTCACGCGACGGACGCGCTGCGGCAAGTCGTGTCGTTGGTGGGTCTGCTGTCAGAGTACGGGTTGCATTCCCTTCGGACTGGGGGCGCCACGTACTTGGCAGCGGGGCCAACGTCGCCACAAGTTCTGAGACGAGAGGGGAGATGGACTGGGGAAACGGGGTATCGGCCGTACGTGAGGAACCATGGAAAAGATGCAGAGTGGGTTTCTAGTACCTTGGCGTCTGAGGGTGATGCAGTGAGGCAACCGGGACAGGGTACAGAGTGGGGCGACGTAGTCCCAGAGGCTGGTGAAGGCGAGCCGTAAAAGGAGGGGGTGGAGTGTGTGATGAGGGTACATTGGTCGGTATTATAGTGGGGACCACGGTAGGGGGGGGGAGAGAGTATAGAGGATCAGTATGGTAAACCAGCCCGCGGTAAGGTTGGGGGCAGGCATGACTTTGAGAGTATGCCTGATGGTGCGGTGACTGGTTTATTCTGATGGTGTTGGTGGACGGGGATAGGTTGAGATCCCCGAGTTCCACTCAAGCGTGGGGGTGTACGACCAATTAATGCAATTTCGAAAGCAACGAACAAAGCAGAAGATTGCAGAGACAGAGGCGTTGAAATATGAGTTTTGTGAGGAGCGGAAGATGAAATATCTGTTGGCCAATCAGAGTGCAGCAGCATGGAGTCAGCGTGAACTGTCTGAAACCTGACTAGAAGAGTAGACTTTGGGGCACTTGTTGGTCTGCCCCAAGTAAGCACGAGGGAGGCTGCTGTAGCCAAGAGGTATTTCGGAGATCTATTTCTTTCCCATCCACTCACCCTTTTGCTGTTGGGGGTGTCCGTGGTAGGGCGAGGACGAATCGCCAGTAGTGGTGAATGAGGAAGGTGTGGTCGTTTGCCGATACTGCTGATGGGGCGAGGGTCTCTTGGGTAGAGGGTCCTTGCCCAGGTGTGTCTGTCGCTTAGAGATGTTTGCGGTACTCTCAGTGGGGGTGAGAGCGCCTAAGTTGCTGTGCCACGAAAGGAGGCGAGGGCACAGTGACTGGATGTGAGGTTATGGTCGACAGGGTCGGCTGCAGCTGTGGGCCGGCGGTCGGGGGGCGGGTGCGAACCCAACGTGGGGGTTCGTGCGGTACCGCGTGTGTGCGACCTTTGATGAGCTCGACGAGATAGCGCGACTAGACATGGGCATGCAGTGGCGTATTTCACGGTACATCACAATCGATGTGGTATATGTGCGGTTTATTGAGGTTGGTATATGGGAACATGCGTGCAATTTGGAGAGAAGAGAGTGTGTGGAGCACACGACATCCCGGGGAGTGGGCGCGCAGTTTGAAGTTGTGGCTAACAACTGGTGCTGAGTGAGAGGGGGATGAGCGCTGTGCTAGGAGTATTTCCAGTCCAACATGTATGGGCTTTCAGGTGCCGGGCATGTTTTGTTTCTGAATTTGCATTTCCTTTCCGTGGAAATGTAGGTAGCGCGGCATTATCCTTGCATATGTATGCTTCGGAGTATATGTTGTATGCATGGATATCTGAGTCTGTGGGGGGCAGGCATGACTTTGAGAGCATGCCTGATGGTGCGGTGACTGGTTAATACTGATGGTGTTGTGGACGGGGATAGGTTGAAATCCCCGAGTTCCACTCTTCTCGCCCCCCCCTGTTCAAGCGTCAAATTGACGGTTTTGAAGAGCGTAATCGTACCGACGCTAGAGTACGCCGGAGAAGTGTGGGAAGAAAATAAGAAGGTAGTGAAAGAACTCGAGGCGGCGCAGATGAAAGCAGCGAAAACCATCCTTGGATGCTCCAAGCTCACAAGTAATGCAGCCGTCAGGGCAGAATTGGGGATCCAATCCCTACGGTCGGGAAGAGACGCGAGGAAGCTGACATGGCAGTATCGCATGTGCGGGATGGGAGAGGAGAGGTTGCCGAGAATTGTTTAGGAGGCGAAGTCAGCAAACAAAAAGAGGGGTAGACAACCCACGGAATGGGTCAAGGTTGTACAGGACGTATGGAAGGGGCTCGACATCGACGAAGATGAAACGCTGGAAACGGAGGGTCTACAGGGGTTCAAGGAGAAGATATCTGTTGCTTGTGCCGAGAGAGA